CAAACGAAATTGTTGTAAAATAGACAATATCGAATGTTGTTAAAAAGTTACAGAATACAGGGACAGGTCAGGTTATAGGTTCTTCATTTTTTAACATAAAATGATATGAGATTTTCCTTTTAAAATCGATAAAAAAAACCATGGAAGATTTTCTTTCTGTTATGACAGGCATGCGTATGATTAATATAAATTTAATCAAATATATTTTTCAATAATTATACGCCCCATACACTGTGAGAGTATTTTCAAATACTTTATGAAACAGGCTACCCCGTAATATCTATTTAATTAACAAAATTTAAATATTTCAATTTATTGTTGTATTGAAGATTTTAGCCGCATATTTCAATCGAAGTGATAGAACATTTTTTTGACATAGCTCCCAACCTTAGAGGAGGCAGTAAATGGCCTACTCACTGAGAATTTTCAACATAGGGACATATAGCAGAGAGCTTATATTTAACTATCTACTTGATTCCATTGTTAGGGTCGTGCTTATACATATGGCGTATGATTAATTTAAATATAATTATTTTCACATTTAATATATATATATATATATATATTTGGGCCATAACGACAGACATGAGACTCTATTAGGCCATATTAGACATATTATTAAATCAATTAGAAAATATGTTTTTTCCTTAGGACCCATATGACATTTTTCCTATAGTAAATACTGTAGCCCTGAATTTGTGTTGTATATTAGTGTATGACTGTAAATGATGTTGTTATATGTTGATGTCTGTGTATTTGTATGTTATTTATTTATTTGTTAATTTTTTTGATTTTTGCCATACCGAAGATTTTTTTTCTTTTGTATTTTGAAGTTAAGTTGTTTTGGTAAGTACTAATATATATATTTACACACACACACATATGTTATACAACACACTATAAGAGTTGGCAATGAAACCACACATATGAATTTAAATTCGGCAAAAAAAAAACTCACCTTTTGGTACAGAATTATATTTTTATTTATCCCTGCAGGTGAAATTTATCTGTAAACAGAGGAGAAAAAGTAAAATAGGTTTATTAAAAATTATTTAACAAAAATTTAAGACAATTCATATATAAATCCATTAATAATTATATTATATGACACCATGGCGTATGAATAACATTTCATATATTCCATAGTTGTTGATAATACGTCTCACTTCGCTGGATTTTTGTATGAAATTTAACATTGGAAGGGTATACGATTTTTGTTTAGCAAAATTTCGATTTGGAGTTTTTTTTTGTTAAGAAATCCAAACGTACCTATCACTTTCAATTCTTTGGACGAGCTTTTTTATTCACATCACTTTTATTCTTGATAAAATAACATTTTCAATTTTCCAGAAAAAATATTCTTTAAAATCCTCCCTTGAAAAACATTCTTTAGAAAGCAAACCTTTTATGTCATTTAAAAGAAAATATATATTTTTTTTTTATTATTAAAGATCAGCGATAAAAATATTTAAAATAAGGAAGGCTTTGTAGGGCTTTGGGAAATTATTTTAAAAAAGGCTATTTTTATTTTTTTATTTTTAAGAAATCCACGTAGTCGCTAAAAAGATTCTTTAAAGTCCACGCCTTGTAGGCCCATAAAAAGGTTCTTTAAAAGTTCAAGCCACGCCTCGTAGATCTTTATTAAAATATTCCTTAAAAGTCCAAGCCACGCCTCGTAGATCTTTATTAAAATATTCCTTAAAAATCCACGCCTTGAAGATCACAGGGAAAATTATTTTTTTAGAGTTTCAAGATTTATTCTCACCTTGGATTTTTCAGAGAATGGAAATTTTTCTTTAAAAAATCCAAATCTTTAAGAAATCCGCGCTTTGTAGATTTCTAAAAACATATGTTACAAAAAATCCACGCCCTTTAGATCCCTAGAAAAATATTTTTTTAAAAAATCCCGCCTATTTGGTTCCTAGAAAAATATTCTATAATAATCCACTTTAGGCCCTCGAAAAAATATTCTTTAAAAAATCTTCGCCTTCTTGGTTACTTGAAAAAATATTCTTAAAACAACACGCTATATTGTTCGACGCCTTTTAGGTTCCTGGAAAAATGTGCTTTACAAACACACACTTCAGGAGATCCAAAAAATTCCTCTAAAAATCAAAGACATTAGAAAATATTATTTTTTTTTAATCCATGATTTTTAGATCCCTGGAAAAATATATTCTTTAAAAAATCCACGTCATTGAGATTTGTAATAAATGTTGGGAGGTCCAAGAAAAATATTCAAAAATATCCCAACGCTATTTGGGTCCTAAAAAAATATTTTTAATAATTAAAAACAAGTGAAACCAGTGAGCGGAGCAGTATAGTCGGACGGGGCCGACCATACGATACCCTACACAACTACCACGAACTCTAACTTTCTGAGGATGTTTATTCCGAGTCTGAGTAATATTTCGTGATATTTGCCCCCTCTTGTCCGATTAGAGGTCAACAACACCTCTTCCTTACTTTTTTTCGAATATTCAGTACAGTCCTTCTAATTACTTGTCCAGATTACCTTCACGGTGGGTTGTGTTGTGATTTTCGGATTATACTCTACTCGAAAACACACAAAAAATTATGTTTTCGGTCCATTTCATCCCAAAATTTTAATCTGATCATCACCGAAAATTGTAGGCGTTGTTCTTGACCATAACTGGAACTTCATTAAAAATTTTAAAGCCATCAGCGCGATATTTCCCCCTCTAATGTGGTAATGGGTTACTAAATAATATTTGAATACGTAAGCACCTGTAAATATTTGACTGTAACTCCCACATCTGAGTAGATACATCACTATATTTGGTATCAATTTAAAGGCCAACCACTCCTCTTGAATATGCTATCAACTCCTCGGGTCTACATCCTCCAGGAGTAAATATATATACCATAGAATACAAATTTTGTCATTTTTCACACAAAAGTCAGGGTCCATTTGACCCGCTAAATATTGACCGATCTTTATCAAAACATGCATGCTTATTCTCTGGCCCGATCCCCTTCTCCATGTAAAAATTCGCAATGTTTGGGCCATAATTGCGGCCTCTGGAGCGACCAGAAAAACCGACATAAATAATGTTTTTGGTCCATTTCATCCCCTAAATATTAACCGATCTTTCCCAAAAACAATAGGGGTCTTCATTGGCCAGAACCCATCCTACATGCAAAATTTCGTGAAGATTGGTCCATAACTGTGGCCTGTATCGTGTTTACAAATTATAATGGACAGACGGACGGACGGACGGACACACATGTCTAGATCGATTCAGCTAGTCGAGATATGACGATCGGTATACTTAAAGGTATGTCTAGGACCAATATTTCGCGGCGTTACAAACATTTGGGGCTGCACAAAGCTATAATACCCTGACAACATAGTTGTGTAGGGTATAAAAAGCGTTAAGTTCGGCCGGGCCGAACTTTGGTTACCCTCCAACATAGATATACTGGCAGTTACTTGAAATAAAAATATAGGGAACATACCAAAATGTATATCTGTACCAACATTTTTAAAAACCTATTATGGTTCAAAATATTGGTCCTAGACTCCATGTTTCTTTGGACCAAATTTGTTTCAAAAAATTTTTCATTTCATCCAAACTTTGCCCATCTTATTATTTCTTCCAAAATTAGTTCAAGTTCAAACATGGGGAATATCAGTCCTTCTGGTACCTCCCACACAGGGGCTAGGCCTAAATGCGGGTTACAGTTCATATATATGAATATATATATATACCCAAAAAGGGGGCGAATATTTTTGGTAGGGAGATTTGTTAGGAGGTACCGTTATATGGGGGCTACCAGAAAAAATGGACCTATATTTATAATTTTTTGTGGAGACACGCTCTGTAGGTCATTGGAAAAATATTCTTTAATATATCCACGCCTTGTAATAAGAACTCAATGTACCAAATTTCAGCGTATTCGGTTGATAAACGCGCTCAAGAACCCCAAAATACCGAAAATTGAGGGGGTACTGTTATTTGGGAGCAATGCCTAAACGTGGACCGATATATCCCATCTTCGAACTTCACCTGCCTGCAGACAAAAGACAAACCTATGCAAAATTTCAGCACCCTATCTCAATAACTTCAGAAGATAGCGTGATTACAACAGACGGACGGACATGGCTAGATCGTCTTAGAATTTTACCCTGATCAAGAATATATATTCTTTATAGGGTCGGAAATGAATATTTCGATGAGTTTCAAACGGAATGACAAAATTAATATACCCTCCATACTATGATGGAGGTATAAAAAATGCTTAAAGCGCCACGCTTTGAGGATAACAGGAAACTATTCTTTAAACTCCCCAACGGTTCGTTTATTTAAATCCCTTTCAAATGTGTCATAAGGAACTCTGCAAAATTCACAAACATTTAGAATAATTATTTTATTTGTATTTTTAAATATTTTTCCTATAATTTAATGTTTTGCCATTTTGTATTTTTTATAAATTGTCTATGTATTTTTTTTTCTGATCATTTAATGTCCACATTCCCCACACATGGTTCATACATAACCAAATTGTCTATTTTTCTGAATAATTATTCATTGACCGTAGACACATCTGTGTGACATTTATGTGTGCATATGTGTGTGTGCGTTGCGACACAATTATTTCGAAACGGAATGGTTATGCATAACATTTCAGACAGACACACAAACTGACACGAAAATTCCCAGGAATTGCAAAATGTTGATATGAAAACTATTTACATAAGTGCGGGACCCAGGTTCGAGTTTGGCCCCACTCAATTTATCATTGTGGCATGCTGAAAAAAATTAAACAAAAACAACAACAAAAACTGTTTTGCAATTTGTATTAATGTTTCCATTTTGCATATTTTCACACACATATGTGTTGTGCTCATGTGTCACAGGTGTCTCTCTCTGTCTCTGTCTCTCTGTGTATGAGTGTGTGTGCGTGTTGTATAAACTTTATGTTGTTTAAAATTTGTTTAACATTTCATTAAATTAAAAAGAATTTAAAAAAAAACAAATTTATTAATTTATGTTTTTGTTTGTGTTGTTTTCCAGCTCGCCGTTCTCCCTCCCCCGCTGGCCGTGTAAGGCGCGCTGGCAGTGAACCCTATGTGCCACCACCATCCTACTTGGCCGGCCCTCCACCAAGTGCATCTCGTGCCTCTCGCGCCCCATCTCTATTCGATCGTGCCCCCTCCGTGTTCGATCGTGCCGCCAGCTTGGCCCCCTTCACCCGGCCATTGTTCCGTGCCAGCTCGTTGGAACCCTTGGATGAACTCTTTGCCAGTAAGTCCGATGAAGAAAAGCCTAGAGTAGTAGTTGAGCGTGCTGGCTCTCCAAGTCCCACTCCTGTTAAGCCCGGTCGTTGGGGTCCCCGCCCCAATGAAGTTTCCTTCGATGCTGATGGTAAAGACGAATCGCAAATTTGTCCAAATTATTCGTTTCATGTTGTTTGAGCGAAATTTCTGTCAAATTGACAGGCCTTCGTGAACATGTTTGGAATGCTAAAAAAAGATTAATTTAATTGTTACGTTCGTTTGGCGTCTTTTGAATTGAATGGCCTAAATGCCTAAATGTCGTTTTTGTTTTCCAAATTTTTGGTGTATAGAAATTATTCCCCATACAAAAAGGCCAGCATTCTGAAGGAATAATTTCAAAATACCAAGAAAATTTAATTGGATATCTGTTCAATGTTGAATGGGCTTGCAGCGTGTTCTTTGAATCTTTGTTGTGAATTTGGTTTACGTTTTTCTTTAGCCGTACCAGCTGCCAGCAGCATCAATGCAAACTCTTCTACGTTATTATCGATTTTATTTTTTTATTTTCTTTTAAGTTTTTTTTTAAGTAGTGCCTTTAAATAATTTGAAGAATTTTGAAAAGAAAAAAAATGCCGCCTAAAAAACGCCAGCAGTATGCCATGAATTGCCTGCCTGAAGCCACGCCGCTACGTGCAATATATGCCTCAATGCGAAAGCTCTGAAAGCTCTTAGGATTTATATTGATAAAATTGAACCATTTTTTTATAAAATTTTGAATGCCTTGTATGTCCTTTGAAAATCCACACCTCTGGTGGTCCTTCGAAAAATATTTTCTGATATATCCTCACCTCTGGTGGTCCTTAGAAAAATATTTCTGATGTATCCACGCCTTGTAGGTCGTTGGAAAAATATTTTCTGATAAATCCACGTCTTGTAGGTCTTTGGAAAAATATTTTCTGATATATCCTCACCTCTGGTGGTCCTTAGAAAAATATTTCTGATGTATCCACGCCTTGTAGGTCGTTGGAAAAATATTTTCTGATAAATCCACGTCTTGTAGGTCTTTGGAAAAATATTTTCTGATATATCCTCACCTCTGGTGGTCCTTAGAAAAATATTTCTGATGTATCCACGCCTTGTAGGTCGTTGGAAAAATATTTTCTGATAAATCCACGTCTTGTAGGTCTTTGGAAAAATATTTTCTGATATATCCTCACCTCTGGTGGTCCTTAGAAAAATATTTCTGATGTATCCACGCCTTGTAGGTCGTTGGAAAAATATTTTCTGATAAATCCACGTCTTGTAGGTCTTTGGAAAAATATTTTCTGATATATCCTCACCTCTGGTGGTCCTTAGAAAAATATTTCTGATGTATCCACGCCTTGTAGGTCGTTGGAAAAATATTTTCTGATAAATCCACGTCTTGTAGGTCTTTGGAAAAATATTTTCTGATATATCCTCACCTCTGGTGGTCCTTAGAAAAATATTTCTGATGTATCCACGCCTTGTAGGTCGTTGGAAAAATATTTTCTGATAAATCCACGCCTTGTTGATCCTTAGAAAACTATTTCTGATGTATCCACGCCTTGTAGGTCCTTGGAAAAATATTTTCTGATATATCCACGCCTTGTAGGTCGTTGGAAAAATATTTTCTGATAAATCCACGACTTGCAGGTCCTTAGAAAAATATTTTCTGATAAATCCACGTTTATTAGGTCCTTGGAAAAATATTCTTTAATAAATCCACGCCTCAGTTGGCCCTTGGAAAAATATTCTTTAATAAATCCACGCCTCAGTTGGCCCTTGAAAAATATTCTTTAATAAATCCACGCCTCAGTTGGCCCTTGAAAAATATTCTTTAATAAATCCACGCCTCAGTGGGCCCTTGAAAAATATTCTTTAATAAATCCACGCCTCAGTTGGCCCTTGAAAAATATTCTTTAATAAATCCACGCCTCAGTTGGCCCTGGAAAAATATTCTTTAATAAATCCACGCCTCAGTGGGCCCTTGAAAAATATTCTTTAATAAATCCACGCCTCAGTTGGCCCATGAAAAATATTCTTTAATAAATCCACGCCTTGTTGGCCCATGAAAAATATTCTTTAATAAATTTACGCCTTGTGGGACCATGGAAAAATATTCTTTAATAAATCCACGCCTTGTGGGACCATGGAAAAATATTCTTTAATAAATCCACGCCTTGTGGGACCATGGAAAAATATTCTTTAATAAATCCACGCCTTGTGGGTCCTTGGAAAAATATTTTCTGATAAATCCACGCCTTGTAGGTCCTTGGAAAAATATTTTCTGATGAATCCACGCCTTGTAGGTTCTTAGAAATATATTCTTTAATAAATCCACGCCTTGAAGGTCCTTGACAAAATATTCTTCAATAAATTCGCGCCTCTGGAGGTGCTTGAAAAAATATTCTCTAATAAATTCAAGTCTCTGGAGGTCCTCGGAAAATATTTTTTAATAAAACCACTCCTTGTGGGTCCTTGGAAAAATATTATTTAACAAATCCACGCTCTGTGGGTCCTTGGAAAACTATTCTCTAATAAATCAGCGCCTCTGGAGGTCCTTGGGAAAATATTCTTTAATAAATCCACGCCTTGCAGGTCCATAAAAAAATATTCTGTAAAAAATTCCTTCTTCAATGTCCTTGAAAGATCTTGGAAAATATTTTGCAATAAACCCGCGCCTGGTAGGTCCTTGGAAAATATTTTGCAATAATCCCGCGCCTTGTAGGTCATTAGAAAATATTTTTTATTAAATCCTTGTGGGTCCTTGGAAAAATATTTTTTAATAGCCACGCTTGGATACAAAAATATTTTTTAATAGCCGCGCTTGGCTACAAAAATATTTGTGAGAAATCCACGCCTTCTTAGTGGTCACTAATATATTTTTCAAAAAATCCACGCCTTTGGGAGGTCCTTAAAAATATTTTTTCAAAAATCCACGCCTATGGAAGGTTCCATAAAATATTTGTTAAAAAATTCCAACCTTAAAGCTATTACATTAAATCCACGCCACTACTTAAAATTATTTTTTTTTTTTAAATTCCAAGCCTTTGGAAGGTCCTGAAAATTATTATTTTTAAATCCACCCTTTTTTGGAAGTTTCAGATTTTTTAAAAAAAATGCGGCTGTTTAATTTTTACAAAAAATATATTTTTTATAGATTCATGCGTTGTTGTCAGGCTAATAATACCCTTCACCACACAGGGTATTATGTCTTAGTGCATATGTTTGTAACAGGCAAAAATAATCGAGATAGACCCATGGTTCCTTTTGAGAATAGGCATAGAATCACTTTCTGAGTCGATTTATGCATGTCCGTCCGTCCGTCCCTCTTTCCATGTTAAATTGTAAACAAAGTACAGGTCGCATTTATGATCCGAATTGGATGAAATTTGGCACAGGTCACTTATTTGGCCCAAGGACGAACCCTCTTGAAATTGGGAAAAATCGGTTCAGATTTAAAAATAGCTCGCATATATACATTTGCCCGATTTAATGTAAACGGTCCCTATATATCTTTCGATTTGCACGAAATTTGTTACAGCCTAATGATTCTAGACCTACTAGAATGATGTGTGTTAAGTTTCGTGAAAATCGGTTCAGATTTAGATATAGCTCCCATATATATTTTCGTCCGATTTTATTTAAATGGTGCACCTTAGTCCCTATATATCATTAGATCTGCACGAAATTTGGCACAACGTAATGAAGAAGGTCTAGAATGACGTGTCCTAATTTTCGTTAAAATCAGTTCAGATTTAGATATAGCTCCCATGTATATTTTCGTCCGATTTAAGGTAAATGGTGTACCAAAGTCACTAAATATCTTTCGGTTTGCACGAAATTTGGCACAACGTAATGAATAAGGTTTAAAATCATGTGTGCAAAGTTTCGTGAAAATCGGTTCAGATTTAGATATAGCTCCCATATATAGTTTCGCCCGATTTTAGGTAATTGGTGCAAAAAGGTCTCTGAAAATCATTCGATTTGCACGAAATTTGTCGTAGCGTTCTGAATTAAGTCTAGAATGACGTGTGCTAAGCTTCGTAAAAATCAGTTCAGATTTAGATATAGCTCACATGTATATTTTCGTCCGATTTTAGGTAATTGGTGCACCAAAGTCCCTATGCATCTTTCGATTTGCACGAATTTTGGTATAGGGTACTGAATTAAGTCTAGAATGATGTTGCTAAGCTTCGTGAAAAGATCCATAGCTAGGCCGATTGACACAACGTACTGAAGTAATATAAAATAATCTCTGGCAAGTTTCCTTGGAATCGGTTCAGATATAGCGCGACATCTGTTAGGATACATATGTAGAATATATCCAAAGGGGTGAAGGATATCATATAGTCGGCCCAGTCCGACTTTACTACTTTCCTTAATGGTTTCTTTTAGACCTTCGCTCTTCTTAAAAACAATTCATGGCTTAATTTTTGTTTTCTTATAAATGTTACGATTTTTTTTTTAATTTTTTTCTACTTAAAATTCTTCAAATTATTTATATACCATATCCTATCTTTAGAATTAGTTTTATTTCTATTATTATTTTCCCTCTATTTATGTAGTTAAGCAATTACCATCATTTGCCCAAAAAAGCAAAACTGCTTACCAAATGCCTTACATTTTAATTCCTTTCTCGTTTTGTTTTTTTAGTTAATCTCTTTCACAAAAACAGATTTTCATTTACATTTGTAGGGCTTTATGATTAAAAACAACAAAAATTCAGATCAAATTTCCAATTTCAAGACAAAGGGAGAATTTGATTTTTAATTCGCCTTACAAAAAAAAAAAATCTTAACACCCTTAAAAATCAGGGTTGTCCATCATTCAGCATCATTTTTATTTCCATATTTATATTTGGCTTTTAGTCCTTATGATTTATTTCTACCCACCCTACCTTCCAAACAACCCCCTCCAACCTCTTCATCATAATCTGGGAAACAGGTGGCACGCATGGTGAAAAATAATCAAAATTATTGTTGACAAAAAAGAAATTTGATTGTGATTCTGTTTTTCGTTCTTTACTTTTTTTCTTTCTCTATTCTTTTTTTTCTAACTTGCATTTTAATGTCTACAGTGTAAAAACAAAACTCAAAATTCGAATTAGAAACTACACACATACATCTTTTTATTTATTTCTTAATCCCCGCTCTCTCTATCTGATGTTACAACAATAATAAAACCAAAATAATAACGCTGCGTCACGCTCTCGCTCTCTCATGGCAACAACAAATGCGCACACCCGCACTTGTCATTGAAAAAAATAATTCGCACACACCTACACACACACACCATCTCAACTGGATAAATGCGCTAATGTCTCAACCGTTTTCCTTCAAAATCGTCCAAAATCGTCGTTGTCGTCGCTGTTGCCCACCTCTGCAGGACTTCCCGTCTTCCATCCCAGAAACCGTTTCAGGGATTTGTTGGACCCCAACCCAAATGCCCCCATCTCGGCCTTCACTCGTGATCCCTTCTGGTGGGATATGGATGACTTAGCTCCCCTCCGTGCCGGCTCCCCCTTCCGTGCTGGCTCACCATTGCGCGCCTTGTCGGTGCCACGTGCATCCAGCCCCATAACCAGAGATTCGTTCTTGTCGCCCGTTAAGAATCGTTATTTGTGGTCTAAGCACCCAGCCAGACCATTGACTCGTAAGTATTGAAAATTACATTTTTTATTATTTAATTAAAAAAAATAGTTTGTAGCTTGAACAAAAAAGTTTTGAAAAATCCCTATGTAGAATTTTTTTAGATTCCCTGGCACAGAGTCCCTTTTGTAAATATTTAGTCCCCATGTAACTAAATTTGTATCGTTACATTGAAATCAAAACATAAAATAAACATTGTTTCAAAATTCTCAGGAAAATAAATCAAATTCAGCTGGGCTATTCCAAACCGTTGATACTCCACTAACCTCTATTGGTGATATTGTGAATAGTAAAGCCATTGATCTACATGTTCAAAATCTAAAAATCCTAAAAACAAGTTTTAAAATTTTTCAAAATTGTTTTAAAATCTAAAAAAATTAAATTAAAAAAAAATCTTTTTTTTTTTTAAATTCAAAATTTTTGGAAACATTCAAAAAATAATTTTACGTAAATTCAAAAAATATTTTTAATAAAAAATTTAAAGTTTTTAAATTTTTTTTTTAATATTTTCGAATATAAAAAATCGAAAAAATTATATGTACCCAAAATCTTTTAAAAATCGATTAAAGTCGTTTTTATACCCTTTACCACACTGTGGTACACTGGGAGTCGCTTTCTAAGTCGATTTATGCATGTCCGTGCTTCCGTCCGTCCGTCTGTCTGTCTGTCCATGTTAAATTGTAAGCAAAGTACAGGTCGCATTTATTATTCGAATGGGATGAAATTTGGCATAGGTCACTTATTTGGCCCAAGGACGAACCCTATTGAAATTGGGAAAAATCGGTTCAGATTTAGATATAGCTCCCATATATATTTTCGTGCGATTTAAGGAAAATCGTGCACCAAATTCACTAAATATCTTTCGAATTGCACGAAATTTGGCATAGCATACTGAATTAAAAATAGAATGATATGTGCTAAGTTTCGTCAAAATCGGTTCTGATTTAGATATAGCTCCCATATATATTTTCGTCCGATTTAAGACAAAAGGTGCACCAAAGTCTCTATTTATCTTTCGATTTGTACGAAATTTGGCACAGCATACTGAATTGAGTCTAGAATGATGAGTGGTGAGTTTCAGGAAAATCGGTTCAGATTTAGATATAGCCCTCATATATATTTTCGTCCGATTTACGACAAATGGTGCACCAAAGTTGCTATTTATCTTTCGATTTGTACGAAATTTGGCACAGCATACTGAATTGAGTCTAGAATGATGAGTGGTGAGTTTCAGAAAAATCGGTTCAGATTTAGATATAGCCCCCATATATATTATCGTCCGATTTACGACAAATGGCGCACCAAAGTTGCTATTTATCTTTCGATTTGTACGAAATTTGGCACAGCGTACTAAATTGAGTCTAGAATGATGTGTGCTAAGTTTCGTGTAAATCGGTTCAGATTTATATATAGCCCCCATATATAGTTTCGACCGATTTTATGTTAATGGTGTACCAAAGTCCCTATTTATCTTTCGATTTGCACGACATTTTGCACAGCATACTAAATTAAGCGTAAAATGATGTGTGCCAAGTTTCAGGAAAATCGGTTTCGGTTTAGATATAGCTCTGATATATATTTTCGTCCGATTTAAGGTAAATGGTGCACCAAAGTCACTAAATATCTTTCGATTTGCACGAAATTTGGCATAGGGTATTGAATTAGGCCCAGAATAATGTGTGCTAAGTTTCGTGAAAATCGGTTCAGATTTAGATATAGCTCTCATATATATTTTCGTCCGATTTAAGGTAAATGATACACCAAAGTCCCCATATATCTCTCGATTTGCACGAAATTTGGCACAGCATACTGAATTGAGTCTAGAATGATGTGTGCAAAGTTTCGTGAAAATCGGTTCAGATTTAGATATAGTCCCTATATATATTTTCGTCCGATTTAAGGTAAATGGGTCACCTAAGTCTCTAAATATCTTTCGATTTGCATGAAATTTGGAAGAGCGTACTGAATTAAGAGTAGAATGATGTATGTTAGATTTCCTGGAAATCGGTCCAGATTTAGATATAGCTCCCATATATATTTTCATCCGTTATAGGCATCAAAGTCCCTATATATCTTTCGATTTGCACGAAATTTCGCATATCGAACTGAATTAGGTCCAGAATGATGTGTAATAAGTTTCGTCAAAATCGTTTTAGATTTAGATATAGCTCCTATATATATTTTCGTTCGATTTTATGTAAATGGTGCACTAAAGTCCCTATATATCTTTCGATTTGCAAGAAATCGTGAAAATCGGTTCAGATTTATGACGTTGCTAAACTTCGTGAAGAGATCTATATCTAGGCCGATTGACACAACGTACTGAAGTAATATAAATTAATCTCTGGCAAGTTTCCCTGAAATCGGTTCAGATATAGATATATAACAAACACGCGACGTCTGTTAGGATATATATGTAGAATATACCCAAAGTGGTGCAGGGTATCATATAGTCGGCCCAGTCCGACTTTACTACTTTCCTTACTGGTTTTAATCTAATTTTTTCTTCAAGAACTTAAATTTATCACCATATCACTGGTAGTGGAGTACCAACACAGCTTTCATACCTATTTCAATTATATGTGTATAACACATTGAAACCCAAAAGATATTAGGCCCAAAAAAAATTTTGGTCGCCAAAAGTTTTTTGGACCCTAATTTCCAAATTATGTAATTCTTCAATAATACAGAAAATTGAAAAATTTAATGTTTTCTGTGTATATTTTCCTTATGTACATATGTAGATATATATCAGCAAATAATATTTAAAAAAAATCTAACAAAAAATATATTTTTTTATTTCACTATTTTATCATTTTGCACAACTAGCTGCCGAAGAGGAAGAATTGTTTGAATAAATAAAAAATACATAATAATAATAAAAAATATCACAAAAAAAATCGAAGCACTATGCTGTCCATATATTATAAACCTATTATCATCATCAGAATATCGAGCCAAATCAAACAAAATACGAAACTAACCCCTAATTATAGGCAATGCATTAAAGTCAAATAAAAAAAATCAAAGAAACAAATGAACAATTGGTAAGAATTCTTAAAGACACCCCATGTTTAGTAGTTTGTAGAAAGCATGGTTCCCAACATTTGCCAACGTAGAAGCACTGGAAATGTTTGCTAGAGCAACCCCTACCCCAAAAAAGAAATTTCACACACACACACACACTCACTCGATATCTATACAACCCACATACATACATTTATACACACACATGATGAAATCTTGTTTCAAAATTTGCATCCTTTAAAATTTGTGTTAAAAATGTTGATATTGGAAATTTTGGTTTTATAAAATTTAGACTTTGTGTTAATACTCTTCACACTTACATATACACACACATACACACCGAAACACACATAATTAAATTTTTTGGTAGCACTTTGTTCGTTATCCTCACAGTTCCTTGATGAAGCTTTAAATCTACCTAAAAGTAGTTGGGCTGTTTGTAGTTAGTTTGTTAATAACCAACAGTTTGGTATGACATGACGTGGGACATTATGTCAAGAGTGGTTTCCGATACCACTACCATATCATATATAAACTTTAACTAACACCAACTAAATGTAAACTAACCTCAATATACATATATATTTATAATCAACATTAACCTAGATTTTAAGGACCATTGATGTGTAAAGGAAATTTTAAAATTTTCATTTAAGAGAGAGAACATGACTAAATGACCTATCATCATATATAAAAATGTTATATATAAATATTTAAAAAAAAAAATATTAAAAAATTCGGAAATTCATATTTACAAAACTAAATGTACCTGTTGGCCTTCCATAAAAAAATCAATTAAAAAACCCAACCCTGGGTTTTTTAAAATATTTTATAAAAACATCTGGCCATAAATTTTTATGACTTCATTTTTTTATAGAAAAACATATTTTTCAAACAAATATAAATATGTTATAGAATAAAATATTATTTTTTAATGTAGGCTTTGGTTTTTACAGAAAAATTCTTTAAGAAACATAGGCCTTCATTTCTATAGAAAAACCAGTGAGCGGACGGGGCCGATCATACGAAACCCTACACAACTACTACTGAGTTCTAACTTTTTGCAGATGTTTATTCCGAGCCTGGACAATATTTCGTGGATATGCACCCTCTTGCCCGATTAGAGGTCAACAGCACCTCTTCCTCACACTGACATATTTCCCGAATATTACTAATATTCAGTACATCCCTTTTCATTATTTCTCCAGATTGCCTTCACCGTGGGTTGTATGGTGATGTTCCGCCTATATCTGTGGTCTATAGAACACAAAAAAAATTAAAAAAAACGTTTTCTGTCCGCTTCATCCCAAAATTATTATCTGATCATCACCGAAAATTATAGGCGCTGTCCTTGATCATAACTGGAGCCTCATGGAAAATTTCAAATCGATCAGAGTTACATTACCGCCCACTATTGTGGTAATGGGTTACAAAATAATATCTGAATACGTAAATATTTGTGTGTAACACCCACATCCGAGTTCATACGAGAATATAATTGGTATCAATTTAAAGGTCAACCACTCCCCTTGGATATACTATCAACTTCTGGGGTCTATGTCCTTCAGGGATAAATATATACGCCATAGAGTACAAATTTTGTCATTGTTCGCATAAAAGTCAGGGTCCATTTGACACGCTAAATATTGACCGATCTTTATCAAAACAGACATGCTTATGCTTTGGCCCGATCCCCTTCTCCATGTAAAAATTCGCTATGTTTGGGCCATAATTGCGGCCTCTGGAGCCACCAGAAATAAACTGACAAAAATTAAGTATTTAGTCAATTATTAACCGATCTTTATTAATACAATAGAGGTCTTCATTGGCCAGAACCCATCCTACATGCAAAATTTCGTGAACTGTGGCCTGTATCGTGTTTACAAATTATAATGGACGGGCGGACGGACACACATGTCTAGATCAACAAAGCTAATCGAGATATGACGATCGATATACTTAAAGGTGGGTCTAGGACCAATATTTCGCGGCGTTACAAGCTTTTGGGGCTCCACAAAGCTATAATACCCTGACAACATATTTATGTAGGGTATAAAAAAGTAAATGTTCCTGTTGGCCCCCATAAAAAATCGAGCAATAAACCCAAACAAATCTAGGCCATAATTATACCCTTCACCACACTGTGGTACAGGGTATTATGGCTTTGTGCATATGTTTGTAACAGGCAAAAGGAAACGGGATAGACACATGGTTCCTTTTGAGAATATGCATAGAATCATTTTCTGAGTCGATTTATGCATGTCCGTCCGACCGTCTGTCCGTCTGTTGGTGTCAAATTGTAAACAAAGTACAGGTCGCATTTATAAAATCGTTCAGATTTAAATATAGCTCCCATATATATTTCGTCCGATTTAATGTAAATGATCCACCAAAGTCCCTATATATCTCTCGATTTGCACGAAATTTGGCACAGCGTAATGACTTAGGTCTAGAATGATGTGTGCTAAGTGTCGTGAAAATCGTTTAAGATTTAGATATAGCTCCCATATATATTTTCGTCCGATTTTATGTAAATGGTGCACCAAAGTCCCTATATATCTTTCGATTTGCACGAAATTTGGCACAGCGTAATGAATTAGGTCTATAATGATGTGTGTTAAGTTTCGTGAAAATCGGTTCATATTTAGATATAACTCCCATATATATTTTCGTCCGATTTAATGTAAATGGTGCGCCAAAGTCCCTATATATCTTTCGATTTGCACGAGATTTGGTATAGCCTATTGAATTAGGTCTAGCATAATGTGTGCTAGGTTTCCTGAAAATCGTTTAAGATTTCGATATAGCTCCCATATATAGTTTCGTCCGATTTTATGTAAATGGTGCACCAAATACACCCTATATATCTTTCGATTTGCAGGAAATTTGGCTCAGCGTAATGACTTAGGTCTAGAATGATGTGTGTTAAGTTTCGTGAAAATCGGTTCTTTTTTAGATATAGCTCCAATATATAGTTTCAACAGATTTTATGTGAATGGTGCACCGAAGTCCCTATATATCTTTCGATTTGCACGAAATTTGACACAGTGTAATGCACAGCGTAATGAATTAGGTAAAGAATGATGTGTGTTATGTTTACTGAAAATCGGCTCAGATATATATTTTCGTCCGATTTAATGTAAATGGGGCACCAAAGTCCCTATATATCTTTCGATTTGCAAGAAAGTTGACTCAGCGTAATGAATGATGTATGTTAAGTTTCGTAAAAATCGGTTCAGGTAATCGTTACTGGGAATAATCATTTTTTAGCCTTCAATGAAGATTTAGCCATCTGTTGTAATCATTCCGCCTTCTAAAGATATCGTGATAAAAAAAACTCAAAACTGACAATAATGAAATATATCGGCAGACATTTAGGCATCTCCACCATCTAATGATACCTCCTGAAGGAACGAAAGAAATTAGGCCTCATATAATGATATCCCCAAATATTCGCTACTTCCTACACTATGTAATCAATATTGGTCTCCCTTTAGGCATAGCCTCATATAACTTTGTAATCTAAATGACAGTAGTTTGAGGATTTTATAATCTACCATACGTCAGTCTACGTTTTATAGTTTTCAGATTTTAGAAAAAAATTCCCACTAAAAATTGCTGAAATTTGTATTTAGTGTAAGGTTTGTAGAATTATCGGTATATGCCCACTTTTTTATATATTCCCTATATTTTCATTGCAAGTATCTGTCAGTATACCTATGGCATGGAGGGTAAATTTATGTTCGCAACAGCGATTTTTTTCATTTTGTACTACCGGGCCCCCCCCGAAATTAAATCCTGTGTACGTTGCTGGTGGAGGGTATCCAAATTTCGGCCCGGCAGAACTTAACGCTTTTTTCACTTGTTTTTTTTTTTTTTAATCCGCACCTAATTTTTAGACTTCAGAAATTTTTAAAAAAAATCCACGTCTAATTTTTAGGTTTAAAATGTTTATTTAAAAGTTTGCGCCTTCATAGCTTCGATGTATGCAAAGTTTTGTTGAAATCGGTTCAGATTTAGATATAGCTCCCATATATAGTTTCGTCCGATTTTATGTAAATTGAGCACCTAAGAGTCAAATGTAGGCCGATTGGCACAAAATTTTGCACAGAGTACTGAATTAGATCTAGACTCATGTATGCCAAGTTTTATTGAAATCGGTCCAGATTTAGATATAGCTCTCATATATAGTTTCGTCCGATTTTAGGTGAATGGTGCACCAAACTCCCCATATTTGTCCGATTGAGACAAAATGCTTGCACAGAGTATTGATTTAGGTCAGGTCCGATGTATGCAATGTTTTGTTCAAATCGGTTTAGAATTATATATAGGTACAATATAGTTTCGTCCGACTTTAAAATGCTGCATAGCGAATGCAGTTGTGTGTGTTTGTTTTTTAAAAGTTTTCGCCTTCATAGCTTCGAAAAAAAAAACTTGGTATTGGTTTACAAAAAAATATTGTGTGCTCTCCAATTTCCAATTTGTCAAGGTTCCGAAAAATCCAAGTTACATTTTGACCCTAATAGCTGTTTAATGATTGTTTCTCCCTCTCTCTCTCTCTCGATCTCTTTCTTATGCAAAGTAATTTTTCTTTTTGTTATTTTTTCTAATAGAATTTTCTTTTTACGTCAATGGTCCAAAATAATTAGTTTCATGTTATTTTTTTTCGTATTTAGTTACATAGTTATTTTTGTTTTTTTTTAGTTTCTTTTTTTCATTTATTTTTGCATTTATTTATGTAGATTCATTTATTATTGATTTTCAATTAATTTTGTTTTCTTTTCTCTTTCTTTTTTCTCTCTCTCTCTCTTTATCCTTTACAAAACACCTGCTGTTATAGCTCGCCGCAT